AAATGATATAGAATTTCTGGATAGCATAAAGGGATACTTGAATAAGAGTTTTTCAATGAAAGACCTCGGTGAAGCTGCTTACATATTAGGCATAAAGATCTATAGAGATAGATCAAGACGCTTAATTGGACTTTCACAAAGCACATACCTTGACAAGATTTTGAAGAAGTTCAAAATGGATCAAGCAAAGAAAGGGTTCTTGCCTGTGTTACAAGGTGTGAAGTTGAGTCGGACTCAATGCCCGACCACTGCAGAAGATAGAGAGAAAATGAAAGATGTTCCCTATGCGTCAGCCATAGGCTCTATCATGTATGCAATGCTGTGTACCAGACCTGATGTGTGCCTTGCTATAAGTCTAGCAGGGAGGTACCAAAGTAATCCAGGAGTGGATCACTGGACAACGGTCAAGAATATCCTGAAGTACCTGAAAAGGACTAAGGATATGTTTCTCGTATATGGAGGTGACAAAGAGCTCATCGTAAACGGTTACGTTGATGCAAGCTTTGACACTGATCCGGACGATTCTAAATCGCAAACCGGATACGTGTTTACATTAAACGGTGGAGCTGTCAGTTGGTGCAGTTCTAAACAGAGCGTCGTGGCGGGATCTACGTGTGAAGCGGAATACATAGCTGCTTCGGAAGCAGCGAATGAAGGAGTCTGGATGAAGGAGTTCATATCCGATCTAGGTGTCATACCTAGTGCATCGGGTCCAATGAAAATCTTTTGTGACAATACTGGTGCAATTGCCTTGGCAAAGGAATCCAGATTTCACAAGAGAACCAAGCACATCAAGAGACGCTTCAATTCCATCCGGGATCTAGTCCAGGTGGGAGACATAGAGATTTGCAAGATACATACGGATCTGAATGTAGCAGACCCGTTGACTAAGCCTCCTCCACGAGCAAAACATGATCAACACCAAGGCTCCATGGGTGTTAGAATCATTACTGTGTAATCTAGATTATTGACTCTTGTGCAAGTGGGAGACTGAAGGAAATATGACCTAGAGGCAATAATAAAGTTATTATTTATTTCCTTATATATCATGATAAAAGTTTATTATTCATGCTAGAATTGTATTAACCGGAAACATAATACATGTGTGAATACATAGACAAACAGAGTGTCACTAGTATGCCTCTACTAGACTAGCTTGTTAATCAAAGATGGTTATGTTTCCTAACCATGGACAAAGAGTTTTCATTTGATTAACAGGATCACATCATTAGATGAATGATCTGATTGACATGACCCATTCCATTAGCTTAGCACCCGATCGTTTAGTATGTTGCTATTGCTTTCTTCATGACTTATACATGTTCCTATGACTATGAGATTATGCAACTCCCGTTTGCCAGAGGAACACTTTGTGTGCTATCAAACGTCACAACATAACTGGGTGATTATAAAGGAGCTCTACAGGTGTCTCCAAAGGTACATGTTGGGTTGGCGTATTTCGAGATTAGGATTTGTCACTCCGATTGTCGGAGAGGTATCTCTGGGCCCTCTCAGTAATGCACATCACATAAGCCTTGCAAGCATTGCAACTAATGAGTTAGTTGTGAGATGATGTATTACGGAACGAGTAAAGAGACTTGCCGGTAACGAGATTGAACTAGGTATTGAGATACCAACGATTGAATCTCGGGCAAGTAACATATCGATGACAAAGGGAACAACGTATGTTGTTATGCGGTCTGACCGATAAAGATCTTCGTAGAATATGTAGGAGCCAATATGAGCATCCAGGTTCCGCTATTGGTTATTGACCGGAGACGTGTCTCGGTCATGTCTACATTGTTCTCGAACTCGTAGGGTCCGCACGCTTAATGTTTCGATGACAGTTATATTATGAGTTTATGAGTTTTGATGTACCGAAGTTAGTTCGGAGTCCTGGATGTGATCACGGACATGACGAGGAGTCTCGAAATGGCCGAGACATAAAGATTGATATATTGGACGGCTATATTCGGACATTGGAAGTGTTCCAGGTGATTTCGGAGAAAACCGGAGAGCCGGAGGGTTACCGGAACCCCCCGGGAGAAGTAATGGGCCATATGGGCCTTAGTGGAAAGAGAGAGGGGCAGCGAAGGGTGGTCCGTGCGCCTCCTCGCCCCCTTGGTCCGAATTGGACTAGGAGAGGGGGCGGCGCCCCCCTTTCCCTCTCCCTCCCCACTTCTTTCCCCCTCCTAGTAGGAGTCCTACTCCTACTAGGAGGAGGACTCCTCCTTGGCGCGCCTATAGGGCCGGCCGGCCTCCTCCCCTTGCTCCTTTATATACGGGGGCAGGGGGCACCCCTAGACACACAAGTTGATCCACGTGACCATATTCTTAGCCGTGTGCGGTGCCCCCTTCCACCATAGTCCTCGATAATATTGTAGCGGTGCTTAGGCGAAGCCCTGCGACGGTAGTGTATCAAGATCGTCACGATGCCGTCGTGCTGACGGAACTCTTCCCCGACACTTTGCTGGATCGGAGTCCGGAGATCGTCATCGAGCTGAACGTGTGCTAGAACTCGGAGGTGCCGTAGTTTCGGTGCTTGATCGGTCAGGCCGTGGAGACGTACGACTACATCAACCAAACGCTTCCGTTGTCGATCTACAAGGGTACGTATATCAAACTCTCCCCTCTCGTTGCTATGCATCACCATGATCTTGCGTGTGCGTAGGAATTTTTTTGAAATTACTACGTTCCCCTACATGGTGGGCTTTGTGTTTACTAGTAGAGACCACTAGTTTTAGAGTTGATGAATTGTTCCAAATATCACATTGATATGGTTGTGAAGGAATGTGGTAAGGAACAATAAGAGAGAAAAATGAGTAATTGTACTTTTGCCACTAAGGATAAATGATTGCATACTGCCCAAGAAGAAGTTATGTTGTCAACATTATGCCATCTTTCCCAAATCAATACTCTGTTTTATTACTTAATACTTGGATGATCCATGGGTATCACGATCAACAATATGTCATCTTTCCCAAGGCAATATTCTATTTTATTACTTAATACTTGGATGATCTAGAGGTATCACGATCAAAGAGTGCAAAGCTAATGAGGTTGAAACCCTCATTGACTTTTTGGGGAGACAAGTGAGGTTTTATTTGTATTACAAAGCTGAGGATTGGTGTGGGAATCAGTTCCAGGAATTGATATCTTAGTTTTTCACCGAGGGAAAACTTGGTGCTACCGACAAACCCTTCTATTTGGGGGCAAAATATTTTTTGGCAAGATAAACTACATGGAGCAATAAATACTTCCTAGCACCACATCGACTGGATTTGATAACCTAGATGTCTAGGGTAGAAGGAGCGTTACTTTAAGATCCAACCCACATCAACAGAATCAGTAGATCCAATCCACCGACCAGAGGAGAGCAAGGAATCCGATATGTAGAGACGTCTCGGGTGTGGTGTCCTCCGAGAAAGGAAGCACCATTACGGATGATGTCCAACAAAACCTCTCATCGCACATGGTTGGTTCAAAAGCATTTGTGAAATAAGTGTCACACACGTAGGCCAATCTGCACATGTTTGCAAAGTGATGGGACCTAGCATGATTGATGTGGCTCGTGATACATGACCGGCTAGGAACACCCATGTGTGATGTGAGGTGTCACATTGCTGACGCGTATTATATATTGAGTGCTACTTTGTGAAGTTTGACTCACCGCACATGGTGAGTGTTCAACGAGCGTGTGCAATGCTCCTGGGTTTCTATAAACATATTCACCCTATAGTAACCCTAAGCCTTGTCAAGAAGATAATTCGAGGAAGTCAGGGTGTCCTCGATGGTCCCATTCTAGCTTCGGGTACAAAGGGCATATAGGTGGGTCCCTGTGGTACCCATGTGTCCATGCCACTCGCACTAGGGCCAGGTCGTGCCCCCTATACATGATAATTGGGAAATTCATCCTCGAAATTTGATGCAAAATGCATGTATTAACTATCCTCACTTCCATGAAGATCTCTTGTGATTTAGAAGATAAGTACTAGCATAGATAAGCATGCATGACAATGAGGAGTCAAAAAATGGACATGCACAAAAACTTGATCGATATTGGTGGTTCCGTAGGTATCGAAGCTTGAGTGTGAAATGTGCATGACACCTACATTACTATTTAGGAGGCATTCGATCCAAATAAACTACTCACATCACAGTGCCCCCACTCCCTAAATGATTGTTAAGGCGATTAGGCATCCCTAGATGAAAGAGTGGTCTTACATGATTGGTCCTTGTGTGTTACCACCTCCCACCTATCCTACACAATTGGTCAAGGTTGTAATTGTGAATTTATAGTCAAGGTGCACGGGGTCTTACCATCTACCCGTTAGTACTCCACATATTCATAGAGAATTCAATCTCAACGGGTCCATGTCGAAGACAATGGGGCAGTCATTACACCATCCGTGCAGGTTGCTACTCTAGTTAAGCACTTATCCGACAAATGAATTTCACCACCTTATGACAATTAATGTCACTGCAGCTGTTTTTCAGGCTTCCATGCAAAGCTTATCACACTTCTCCTTCCGACCTTCCAGCACTGAGCATGTATCAAACTCTATACATCGTTTTACACTTAGAGTCTATGTTTTTATTTGCATTCCAAAACTCATGGGGTTTGTATTGGTGCTTCCTGCTAATAGATCACATATATGCCTTTTATTTAAACCTGATATTGTTTTAGAGTTCCCAACTGTTTGAGCCATTCAATTTTTAGTTGAGAAGTTCGAGAGAGTGAATATACATGCAATTGAAACTTCTACAAAACTCTCAGGCCTTTTGCATGGATTTAAGGCTCGTTAAAAAAGAAAATGTGTATTTGTACTTTAAACATGACATCATAAGTTCAGCTCGGTTTCATGTTTCAAGAAAAGGTAGACACAAAGATTATAACTTTATTAGATTACACAAAAGTGGAAATGTTGCCCAGCATACAAACTAGCCGAAGTTAAGCAAATAACAACATGAACAATCCATCAAACTTAATGAGTGATAATTTAAACGACATATATGGGCTTGAGAAAGAGCGCGGCGATGAGACCCTTGAGGTCACCACCAAATGTGTAGCCGTCCCTGCCACCAAGGTATATAACCTCCAACGTCCTTGTCAGGTTCACCACCAATTGTGCCGCTGGCAACAGTGCGGGTTCTATCTCCATACATGCTCGGTTGATCATCCTCCACGCATCTTCGGCCAACGCCGAGATTGCCACGATAGCCTCCTGCCCCCCTACGAGGTTCTCCTTCATGTAGCACTCCACAGAGCTAGCCACATCCTTCTTGGTCTTTCCCAACTTGTAAGAAGCAATGTCGTTGAGAAAGTGAGCGATCACTCCGCTTGCGCAGACAATGTCTGGGACATCGGCTGCCCAGTCAAATGCCTCATTGGTTGCTGTGTTGTCCACACCCATGAGTAGCACAAGGGCCAGTGTGGGGAAGCCTGACGACATACGTGAAACCTCTAGGTGCTCCTTGAAGCTCGGGGCATACTTTTCGTTGGACCATTTGGCCTCACAGAGGTAATATTCAGACGATGACTGAAACTACATCCACACAGAGAAACGTGAGATACTGAGATGTAGCATGATGAGTATAGCTTGAATAGCGCAGCTGTTAAACTCAGTGCAATTTATTTTCTTTTCACAAGCTCTTACCGCTGTCTTTGCGTAAGATACACGGTATTTCTCATGTGGTCCCAACATATCCTCAAACTCTCTGAAGTTAGCCAACAATCTGATGTAAAACATATGCAGGTATTTAGGTAGAATAGACACCGCTCTTCGGTCCCATCTGCAATAAATTAGGAATTAGGAGTCTAGGAGAGTGCTATGAGCTCAAATCTTGATCAATCCAGTTGGATAGTTTCACAAGATTGATGGTTTAAATTTCCGTTATAATTAAACTTAGCCACGTTAAGCTTTAGTTCAGCGATTGGCCTATGTAAGCACTATTATTTTGCATAAAATCCCATCTCACCTTTGTATAGCTTCATTGAGTTTATAGCAATCCTCCAGGGTCGCGTGGACATCATAGGTGTCATCCATCAGGGATAGCAGACCGAACGTCTTTGCAAACATTAGTCGTGCGCGGGAGTACTCCTCCTCATGGAACACGCTACATGTCCAGAAATAGTTCTCCACTAGACGATCCCGGGCATAGCTTAGCTTCACATTGTCATAAAGATCTCTCCACCACCTGCAGATTGCATCCATTTTAACCCAAATATCAAGTAAGATCTTGGTGCATACTGTTATAATTACTTTATGTTCCCTATTAGCTTGTTCTAATTTCAAGTCCGTGTACTCCTTTGCGCTGCATTATGTTAGCTGGCATCCGCAATGTTGTCTTTTACCTCACGCCATAAATTTTCGTGTCGTACGACTTTGTTTGCTTTCCATTTATGGAATTTATAATATAAAACCGAGCGCTCTTTGCACCTTCGTTCTAAAAGAATATTGGTAGAAGTTAATAGGGAATAATTGCATCATTCAGTGCAGTAGTTGTGCCGTACTCCTATTCCTATATCAAGGGAGAGGAAGAGGGAGGTTCAAGGGCCAGTGGTGGTGCCGCCATTCGTGGTGCAGATGATGCTATGTCATGATCCACTAGGTGTGGCCATTGCTAGAGAGGAATCCATGGAAGACCGGAGGGACATGGGGAATAGTGGAAATGAAGGAAATAAATGAGATGATGTTATGCTGTCAGTTGGATCTCACTTGCCGACATATGGAAAGTTTTTTTTGAGCTAAAATAAAACTGCAGCTTAGTTTGTCAGTAGGAACTAAAGATAGGATATGTCTACGTCTGAGTAGATTGATATTCTTTTTATGTTTAAGTTGTTAGCGAACGTATGTGTCATGTAATTTGTTAGTCCTAGTCTTCAGGCTAGTGGGTGAGTTAGTTGGCTGAGTCGGCATGTATATAACTGTGTAACCCCATATTGTGAATACAGTGAGTTGCACGACCCATCTCTCTCTCCCGATCGCTCTGGCTCGAACATGGTATCAGTTTAACTAAGATCCTACTCTTCCGCTGCCTTCTCTCCCCACCTCGCCGCCATGACCTCCTCCTCCTCGGTCTCCTCTTCCGGCGAGTCCTCCGCCGATGAGCAGTTCGACCTCCCCGTGGCCACCCAAACCCTTCCCACCATTCAGATTCAAAGCCTGCGGATTTGTTATCACGTCTTGCTCACCTTGGACTATGAGAAGGAGAACTATGGCCTCTGGCGCCGCCAGTTTCTCGCCGCCCTCGCCAAGTTCGGCCTCACCGACCATGTCGCCGGCTCGCCGGCTCACGCCACCTCTGATTGGGTCCTCAACTACTTCGTCGTCCTGTCGTGCTACAACGCCACGGTCACCCCCTCGACCTTGGAGATCGTCGAGGATCGTAAGGACACGACGTACACCCTCTGGCGCTCGCTCCGTTCTCTCTTCCGCAGCAACCGCGACGCCCGGATCACCTACCTCCTCGACGAGTCCCACAGCTTCATCCAAGGCGACCTCACCGTTGTCGACTACACCTCTCGGCTGAAACAGATGGCTGGCACTCTGCGTGATCTCGGCCATCGCATCAAGGATCGCGAACTGGTTCACAACGTCCTGCGTTGCCTCGATGAGCGCCTCCAACACGCTGTGCCGCACATGACCCGTGGTCGCCGGCCCTCCCTCGTCAAGCTCCTCTCCTTCCTGCAGCTGGAGGAACAACATCTCAGCTGGCTGGCGGCAACGCCACCTGCACGGCCCTCATCACGCCGACCAATGCCTACTACGCCGCTCGGCCGCAGCCCCCTGCACCCGCGCCGGCCCTCTTCAACGCCGGTGCTCCCACGACCCTTCTCTGCCCCACCCAGCATGGCGCGGGCGGCTCCTCCGGTAACCGCGGCGGCCGACAGAAGAAGTGCAAGCAGAATCCCTCTGTCGGGCCTGGTGGCTCCTCCTCCGGCAGGGCTCTCCCTGGCGGCTCCTCCTTTAGTGGCGGGATCTCTGGTGGCTACGTTCCTGCCCAGCGCTCCCCCACCACCGTCGCCGGCACCTTCCAAGGCATCCTCGGTGCACGCCCGCCCGCTCCTTCTGCACCCCAGGCGTACCAGGCCACGACTGTGGCCTCGCCATCGTCGTACTGGGATCAGGCGGCGCTGATTGCCGCCCTCAATCAGATGGCGCTGCATCCACCCTCTGTCCCGATGGTGAATGGGTCCTCGACAGCGGCGCTTCTTCCCACATGAGCTCCGGTTCTGGTATTCCTTTCTCCCTTCCCACATCCTCTTCTCCCCCTCCATCATCGTTGGTGATTGGTCCCTACTGCCAATCACCGGCGTCGGTTCCACCTCCTTCCCCACTCCCTCCCGCCCTCTCTCCCTCTTAGAAATTCTCATATCTCCCTCTCTTATCAAAAATCTCGTTTCCGTACGTGCTTTCACTCGTGATAATTTAGTCTCGATTGAATTTGACCCCTATGGTTTCTCTATCAAGGATCTCGCAACCAAGACGGTGCTTCTCTGATGTGACTCCATCGGCGATCTGTAGACCTTCACTCCGTCCCATCACTGCCTCACCGCCACCGCCGATCTCTGGCACCAGCGCCTTGGCCACCCCGGTGCTGCCGTCCTCGCCAAGGCCTCCACATATTTCGATTTCAGCTTTAATAAGAGCTTGCCGACCCATTGCGATGCATGTCATCTCGGCAAGCACACTAGGCTCCCCTTTAGTTCTTGTACTTCTCATACTACTTTTCCATTCGAACTTTGTCATTGTGATCTATGGACAAGTCCAATATTAAGTGTGTCTGGTCTCCAATACTACTTGGTCATTCTTGATGATTTCACACATTTTGTATGGACCTTTCCTATACGTCGCAAATCCGAAGTGCATGTCCTATTAGTTCAATTTTTGCCTATGTCCACACACAATTCTCTCGTCCCATTCTCGCTCTTCAAACCGACAACGGCAAAGAATTTGACAACCTCGCAAATCGTTCTCTTCTCGCAACTTACGACACTCTCTTTCACCTCACCTGCACGTATATGTCCCAACAGAATGGCAAGGCCAAACGCATTATTCGTACTCTCAACAACGGTGTTCGTACCCTTCTCATTCACGCTTCCATGCCTCCCCGTTGGTGGGCTGAAGCTCTAGCCACGTCCACTTATCTCCTCAACCAGCGTCCTTACGAACCTCAACTTCTGACCACCCCCTACGAGCTTCTTTTTGGGCATGCACCCGACTTTCTTCACTTCCGTGTATTCGGATGTCTTTGCTATCCCAACCTCTTAGCCACCACCCCAACAAGCTCTCCACACGTTCGGTTTCTTGTGTATTTCTAGGCTACCCTGACGATAGGAAAGGTATCGTTGTTACGATCCCTTATCCCGGTGCATTATCTTTTCCAGGCACATAACTTTCGTGGAGACTGTTTTCCCCTTCAAATCGCTACCTACTCCTCCTCAAACTGCGCCCTCATCCGCTCCTGATCCACCTCCCGCGATTCATGTTGATCCTGCATGGCCTACATGGCCGCCGCCCTCGCCCTCCCCTCCTGGATCGCCAACTGGCTCCCCCCAAGCCCACCAACGCACCAAACCCTCCCACGTCTACACAGCCCGCCAGCCATTCGCCTCATGGGCCGCCTACCCCACCTTCCGGCCCAACCACCTCTCCCGACCCCCCTCGCCTCATCCTTCTCCCTCGTCGCCTCCTGTTCGTGCGCCACATTCGATGATGGCGCGCGCACGGCACAGGATCTTCCAGCCTAACCCTCGCTACACAAATTTGCACGCCTCTACCATATCCCCCCTTCCCTCATCCGTCCGTATTGCCCTTTGCGACCCAAACTGGCGCGCTGCCATGCAGTCTGAATTCGATGCTCTCATGGCGAACTCCACCTGGACACTTGTTCCTCGCCCACCTCACACTAATGTGGTTACTGGAAAGTGGGTTTTCAGGCACAAAACCAACACCGACGGCTCCCTCGAGCGGTATAAATCCCGCTTGGTTGTCCGGGGTTTCGCTCAACTGCCCGGCATCGACTTTGGCGAGACATTTTCACCGGTGGTCAAGCCGGCTACAATTCGGACGGTGCTCACCCTCGCGTGGTCTTGCGGCTAGCCGGTGCATCAGCTTGATGTAAAGAATGCCTTCCTTCACGGCGTCCTTGACGAGCAAGTCTGTTGCTATCAGCCCGCCGGATTTGTCGACACCACTCGGCTGAATCACGTCCGCCGTCTCTCCGAGTCCTTGTACGGACTCAAGTAGGCCCCGCGGGCTTGGTTTCAGCGGTTCGCCACCTTCGCCGCCACCATTGGGTTCGTCGCGTCGCGGTCCGATGCCTCGCTGTTCATCCTACGGCGGGGTGATGACACCGCGTACCTTCTACTGTACGTCGATGACATCGTCATCACGACTTCCTCGACTGCCCTTCTTCGCACACTCGTCGATCAGGTACAGCACGAGTTCGTGATGACGGACATGGGTGCTCTCCACTACTTCCTCGGCATCCGGGTTCAGCGTACATCGCGTGGGTTCTTCCTCGACCAGGCCCAGTACGCCGAGGACCTTCTTCATCGCGCCGGCATGTCTACCTGCCACCCCGCGGCCACGCCAGTCAACACCTCGCCCAAGGTTGCCGCCGATGCCGGTCGGCCCGTCGCCGATCCCTCCAACTATTGCAGTCTCGCCGGCGGCCTGCAATATCTCACCATGACGCGTGCAGACCTGGCATATGCTGTCCAACAGGCGTGTCTTCACATGCATGATCCTCGGGACAGTCACCTCACACTCGTCAAGCGTACCTTGCGGTACATTCGTGGCACAACCGCCCATGGACTCCTGCTGCCAGTCTCCTCGTCGACAGAGATAGTTGCCTACTCCGACGCAGATTGGGCGGGTTGTCCTGACACTCGCCGCTCAACCTCCGGATACTGTGTTTACCTTGGCGCCACCCTCGTCAGCTGGTCTAGAAAAGTTAATGTAGAAAAGTGAAATTTGAATTTAAGTTGGACTTTTCAGAAGGCTTTGATATAAGAAAATATTAAACAATTTGCAATTAGCAAAACCGTTATTAGAGGTAATAAGACAACATTACATAGAAAGGGGAAAACATCAACTTACAAAGATAGATCCCTAAGCTCCTTGAGGTGAAGGGACCTGACCAATTCAAAGTCAAGCCGGGAGAGCTCCAAGAGCGGGCCATTGTTAGACTCGTCCTGCTCATACTCCTTTATATAATGCATTGTTTCCAACCGCCTGACGGTCCGTGGGAGAGGAATGTCGAGGGCACATGAGACTTGTTCTGCCATTGGTGGCCTAAGCTTGTTTCTCATTGCCTCGAGGTGGTACCTCGAAAAGACGATTGCGTCACTTAGTGCATCCTCACTAGGTGTTGCCAGGTGCGCTGCATTGTAAAGGCTCAGAAGGCTCACTGGGTCACTGCATAGGCTTGTGCTGAAATTTCCTGTCTCATCTTTGAACTTGTCAAATATGTCTGCATGCAGTCATGTAAGTTTGATCATATCAGTTCAGTTTCTAGGTGCGTGTTCTCACATTTGCTACTCACTCTGGTTGGGTTTGTAAGTCGGGCATGGGTTTTTAGGTTTTCAATTCACCTAGGGAACCATGTGTTGGATGCCACAAAAAATATAACTTGAGATTCATCGTCGAACGAAATTTCTAAACATAAGTTATATGGCATAATTACACATGTTTTGTTAGTTAAATTCTAGACCTAACATGCCCTAGTTATAAACCCACCCCGAGGTATATACATGCATCATGATGTGTGCCCCTTTACGATGTTAGCAAAACAGTTAATGTATTGGTTGATTCATGGTATGTTTTGTCGAGTATATTAGCAATATTTCGATTAATTTAATCCATGAATAAATCATGAACATGGCAACATGTTTTTCAGATCAAAGAGCATAACGAATATCAATCCTAAACAAACATGATAGAATAGGATAGGTTGAAGGTTTTGGGTTGATCTGAACAAAAAAAAGAGCAATTGCTAGATCCACGAATTTTTGTCCGAAGTCCCAACATAAATTTAGATTGACTTTGAGATCACTGAACTTTTCTACAGTGGCCGGTGTACCGATTCAAAGACAACTCAATATACATCATTGGTTTGTTTTAAGGAAATATACATACCAGCAGATACCCAGAGCCCATGCTGCCTAAGTAGGCGAAACCGAAGAGCGGCGATGTGGAGGTCGTCAGAGCTAGCTGGAAACTCCGGCTCCTCGTTTAGCACGTGCCTTAGTGCCGTGCCAATCTCCCCACGGAAGTGGTTGCCGATGCCAAGCCGCTCGAGCATTTCCACGAGTGTCACAACATCAGCCACACTCCTGTTCTTGTTGTCCTCTAACAGGGCGCGCACTTGGACCTTGAGTTGTTCCACCCTCTCTTGCATCGTCATCTCCGAGCTCTATACATCACACACGTAAAATTCAACATTATAACTTTTCTCGTACAAAACCGACATCTTGTTTTTTTTGAGACCTTTTACGGTGCATCAAAATAATATGAGCCGTCCATTTTCAGTCAGTTAATGGACTAGATCCACCAATACTACCAAAGCAATTCAGTAGTATATTTTGTTCAAGGGGTAAAATTGGAAGACTTAGAAAATAAATACCCAAATTCTACATCCATTGAGGAATCCGTGTGTTTTCTTGTCCTGCTTGGACCAGTCCGGCCGAATACTTTCCGGCCGACATTCAATGCAACAGAGACAATTATACACAACGATGGATCCTTGCCGGCTGGTATTTTTGGCCGAGGAAATCACCATGTACAATAGATTGATTGATCATTTGTGGATACATGCATTAGTGATTCCGGCGATCAAGCCGGCGGCGGTGGCCTCATAGGAAGCTGCAGCGACGACGCCGCTACTGATCAGGACGTCGTACCGCCGGTTCTGTGGCCTGCTGGTAGATTTGATGCCAGGTCGGGGGCTTGGAGCTCCCACTTGAAGGGCACTCAGGCAGTCAGGCTAGCTCTGATCGATATTGGGCATGCGCTGTTGATCATGGGCGATGGCAACGACGAGGCCTCACGAGGATCGTCACCGCGAGGGATTTGACAAATTAGGAAATGAAAATAATGACAAAACTACCCCGCTAATCAACGGCTGAGATGATTCAATACTACTCGCTTTCAGAGGTAGTATGATGCACCGTAAAAAAACTTTCAAACTTAAATCCCAAAACGCGTGTGCGCCTATTCACCGGAACAGAGAGAGTATGTAAAAGTGTATGCGACTGACCTGCGAGAGGGGAGGGTTGTAGGTGACGAAGAAGTCACCCCACACGCAGGGTTGGAAGGCGCCCATCTCCAGCTTATGAGGACCAGCAGCGGCAGCAGTGGCAGGCTTGCTAGCAGCCATGTGTAATATGAGTATAAGCTTATACTTGCACAGTTGCACTGGTTGCAGAGCTTGTACTTCTCTATTAGTGTGTGTATATCTTGTGCATGGCATGGTCTTGCTAGCGGTCTCTATTTATAGAGCGAGGGAGCGAGCTAATCGAGTGCACCAACAGGTTCAACACTGCCGCAGCCTCGCAAATGAAACAAGGCAACGTTCTACACTGTCGGGAGGGGGCGCAATTATTGGATTCTCATTGATGTGTCAGTTATTGCATTGTACTACGCGTTACAACGACATCATATGGCAAGAGATCAGGGTGACAGGGACGACAATACAACCTCAAGGTCCAAGTGCGCGCCGTGTTACTTGATTAATTTTACGTAAGAGATCAGGGTGACAGGGACGACAGGTTAAGTTTGAAGCAAGAGGAGAGAAACAACCTTACCGCCAATGGATGTACGCTACGTAAGCACGCGTATTTTCCAAGCTAAAAATGGTCGAGCCGGACTCGAGGCACGCGGAACACGATGCGTGTGGTGTCCCTATCTGGCAAATCGCTCTCCCAGCTTCGCTGACCCACAAACTACTGCTACCGTGCTACGTACGTCCATGAATGGTTTCTAGTTTGGCAACTCTCTGGTTTGATGGGTCAATCATTAGTTCCTTATTCATGAGCATTTTTACGGTACCCTCTACTGCTATAGAGGGGGGAGAGCAGTATACAATCATCCCGCCGTTGATTTCGTGAGGGTAATCTAATCATATTTTTCTTTTTTCCATTGTAACGTCAGCCCAGCAGCAATCGGTCGCTCTGTTCGTTCAATTACCCGAGCTGTAGTTGCACTCGCCGTCGTGTCTCTATATCCCGGCGCACTCCTGCCACCACCCTCCGCCGGTGCACTTGACCTCGACTGCCGGGCGCTCGTCCACTTCGCCGTCCTCGTTCCTCCAGCTGTGCCTCGCATGGCCCTCTCACGCACGATCCACGTCCGTCAGTATAGGCCGCATCCCACCAAAAACTAGAGTGCAGATCGTAAACTTTCACAACTTCTATGTCTTTGGTAATTGGTACCATGGTGGTTCATCACTTAACTCTTGGTCGGTGGAGACGTCTGGTTGATCTATAGAGTCCCTCCATTGGTAGCTTCTGAAATAGGCACTACATCTTGTCATCGTCGGATCAGCGAGAGAGAGAGAGAGAGAGAGGAACGAGCAAGGAAGGAAGACGAACACGAGAGAGAGTAGATTTTGATGCTGCCGTAACTGCGCAGCGTTTTCCGGTTTTTCTCTTTTCTTTTATCTGAATACAAAACGAGCTGACTTTCTCTCCCAGTCTGACCGCTATGATCCGCACAATGCGCGAGGTCCCGCAATTGTGTTCACAGCCAAGGCCCATGACCAGGAGAGAGTTCAGGTAACAGAAAAGGAGATCGCCTGCTAACAGCGTCTCCACGATGGAAACGAATTATATGAGACCAAGTCTCACGGGCTAGCATGTCAGACCCATCCTGATGGATGACACGTGTTATTTACAATCACAAAGCATCTATCCCATCCCCCACTTGAAATCAGGGGGAGAAGAGATTAGATGCTTTATGATTTGTGATGCCACGTGTCATCTATCACGATGGGTCTCACCTGCTAGCCCGTGAAACCTGGTCTCATATAATTTCCCCCCTCCACGGTCTACATGATCGTCATGCATGCATGGGTCACATCCGACCCTGCTGCACATTATTTTAAACGAAAAACAAAACAAAGCAAAGCAGCCTAGCCTATCTGGTGTGAGCTTAACTGAGCTAACACATCTAATTTCCCTGGTAGCCGGCGGCTGCCAAAGAAGGGGAGCTCGTCGGGATCGGACAACTGTGTATACTGTCAAGCGGCCGGTACACGATCATGTGATGAAGAATAGATGTAGCGGTGGCCGCCACAAGAGGAAGGGGATGACTTTGCTTTATCTGTAAAACAGGGCGAAAGTCTGTTTTGAGAGGAAGGAGAGGACCGGAGGAGGCCTCGTCGAGGAAGACTTTGTTGGAGCGCGTGACACCACGAGCTTGGCTGGCGCCTAGCGGCGTAACAACGTTGATCTACGAGCACGAGACTTGAGGCATGAGCAGTGAAAAAAAATAGTGCACTATGCAATGTATCACTAAATACATCGATATACAGTGTCTAGCTAATAACATGTTATAGCATGATATAGCACGCTAATAACATATTTAAAGGGCCACACTATCTTTTTCATTGGGCATGAGTACGTCTGTTATATACAGCTGATTTGATTCTGATCACAGTATCTTTGGAACATGTATTTGCCCGTGTGTAGTGTCTAGTAATGCTTCTAGTGTGTGTGGGTGCGTGCATTATTTGATTCTTTACTTGTGAACGCCACAGCGGATCTGATTCTGACCACAATCTATCTGGAATAGTAGTTTGCCGATGTGTAGTGTCTAGTGCTGCTTCTGCTGTGTGCGCGCGCGCGCGTGTAGAGCTAACCGTTCTTAAGGATTTTCAGCACGTCTGGTATCAAGTAGGGCATGCCGACAGACCGTGAAGGAGGCAGTGGACAGGCTGATGAATCAAGTTTTGCTACTTCAGAGGTCAGCTTCTGGCTTCTGCTCAACACACGGTGTCGGCGATGGATCGTCTACTGATGTGAAAATAGTTCAAGAGCGGTGTGCCGTCGAAAGAGGAAAGAATAACACAAGTTTGGTGTGTTTTTCGTGTTTAGTGCGTCTAACTTCCTTCGCGTTTTTTGCGGGGTAACTTCCTTCGTTTTCATGAATGAATGTTTTCTTTTTTAGGGCATTTCTAACTGATCCTCTAAAAGTCAGTGGAGTATCCGACGAAGTAAAGTTAGTGGAGTAATTTTTTTACTTCACTAATGGTGGCCACACCTAGCCGGTCCCCTATAGTTTGTGGAGTAAAAATAAAATTTTGTAGATTTTGTGTCCTAGCTGTACAAACTTCAAACATTGCACAATAGATATTTTAAAAACATTCAAATTAAAACATGCATAGCATAACCGCCATAACATAAAGTTTCGTCATCGCACTTTTTAAATTAAAACATGCGAAGTTCATCCAAAAAACATGACTTCAAACACAACGTTTGATCCAAAATCACCACGAACATAGCATGTATATGTTGTGAAACGAGCCAACCAATGGCATGCACCCCTCCCCCCTCGGCCACCACCACTCAAAACGATGTCGCCGGCAAAGAAATCAACTGCACCATCCTCTCGGCCACCATCACCACCGCCATCCTCTCGGCCACCACCATCAACACCACCTCCTTGGCCACCACCAACATTCCGAAGAGAGGCTTCCAAAATCTCTCCCCGAGTGATCTCCCAATACTTTCTTGCGGTTTTATCCATTGTGTTTGGATTCATGAACATGGAAGCGTGTTCTTCGGCCTTCTTGGCATCACGAATCCTCTCCTTCTCAAGTGTAAGCCTACGCTCCTCCGCCTTTAACTATCTCTCTTCGGCCGCCGACTTGGCCTTCCATTTCTCATCGTCGAATGCCTTAAGCTAATCCCACCTCGCCATCTTCTCTTCTTTGTGCTCGGTCGCCAACATCTTCTTAGTCTCGATCGTTGCCACAAGTTCTTCTTTGTAGTGCCACCGAATGCATTTATCTTCTTTCTTTCTTTTGCAATCTTATTTCCTTCCGGTCTATTGTTGGCATCTTCATCAATCTCATCGTCCACCTCAACGGAAATGCTCAACATTGATATCTTTGGAGTGGTCTACACGATTCTTTGGATCCACTTCTCGTTTTTGCATAGCTGTTTGTAGCAATGATGCAACGTGAAAGGCCTGTGGCCGAACTTGGTGTTTCTATGCTTGAATAGTTCTTGGATGTAGGGGGCATACTCCGCCACTTGCACACCGCTCGGTGGTGCATGATTCACTTGGTTGATGTAACCGGACCATCGGTTGCATTGGTCATGAATGGTGCTCCAACGATGCCCAAGAGAACCATGAGTATGGCTTGATCACACATCCACGGAGTTGTTATAGTGGTCGGTAATTCTCTCCCAAAACATGGTCTTGGTTTGATCCGTTCCGATCATTGCATCCATGGAGATCACACACCAAGCATCGCAAAGAGCAATATCCTCCTTTTGGTTGTAGTTTTGGGTGCGGCACCTTGGCACCTTCGTGCTTTCTTTGGTCACCTCCACAACCTTCTCTTCCCCGGTCACCACCTGTTCAGCCTCCTCCTCTTCCCCGATCACTTCTTGCTCCATGTCTTGGGTGGCCTCCGAATGATCCCAAAACGAGTCATAGTTGAGCTCATCAAGTCCAACAACAGCCAAGGACTCCAAGGAGGTGAGGAATTCAGCCAAGTTCATCTCCGCACTACAATAAACAAAGCAAACACTACCAACAATCACTACCGGCTACAAACAATCACTATCGGATACCTACAACACGCGAGGTTTTTGTTTTTACCTTGTAGGCATTTCACCGAGCACTTGGCGGCCGCGATGCTTGTTGTCGGCTACGGCGGCCGCCCGAGCCGGAGCAGTGGTCGTAGGGGGCGCCAGAGTAGCTGCACGAGGCGCCACTTTGGCCTTCTTCATCTTCTTCGCGACCGCCTCAGCGAGCATCCCTGCCTCCACCATTGGCTTTCGAGCTCGTTTGGCTCCAAAGGGTGCGGCGGGAGGGCAATGGGCCGTTGCTAGAGAGGCGGTGTCCACCCTTGGAGGAGCTTTGACGCGGTGGGTTTTTTCATCCCCAAAATCTTCTTCGGCACGGGTGGCGGCGCATGGATAATTTCCGACAACGATGGACGGCGGGGGTGAGGGAAGGGCCCAAGCTATCCATTCCGGCCGGCTGGATGGTCATCGGTGGCGATGGCAGGGTGCAGCGGCTTTGGCGGCAGGAGACAAGGAGGCGCGGTGTGGGAGAAAGAGAGAGGCGCCAGTTTTACTCGGCCGCCATGGGAGTAAGCAAAAACAAGGAGATTTGGGGGGATATTGGGAGTTGAGGTAAAAAATTTACTCAACTAAACCGGATAGAGGATCGGCTAGATGCGTCGTAAGGGAGTATTATCGAATTTTTACTTTCTTATGGTCTTTTAGGGGATCGGTT